TCAACACGACTCCGTTTCCTGTCCTATTCGTTTTTTTTTTGTTTTTTTTTTTCGCGGAAGCTGTGTTTATACTTCAAACTGATTCGGGTGCAATTGATTTCTTACGGTTAGGTTCCGATTAGGACTTGAGTTCATTTAATGTAAAATGGATCAAAAATTTATGTAAACGCTTATTGTTTCGATTTGTAAAATAATTTCTTTAGAAAAATAAAATCGTCCAGGGTCATATACGTTTTTGCATTGACATCAAAGCTACTGGTCATTGTTACGGATTTTATAAAACTCATTAATACTGAGCTTTCTAGGAGATGGTAAAATCAGTCTCAGCCGTCTTTTTACAACTAAATTCCCAGCGTAAGATGAGCGACAAGAAGCTTAGTGTAGTGCCAGAAGCCGACGAGCAGGTTTGTATGTTTTTTCTATCGTAATTGATTTTTGTAACCTCTATTTTCTCTGATTGTTAGTGATTTTTCTCACATCTCTGTTCTTTGTTAAAATCGAAGCAAGATCAAATTTTTTCAGCAAGTAAAAACATTATAGCATTCCACGAAAACATTCCTATTGAACAAACTTATATTTATTATATCATGCGAAGTTTTGTATGTCGGACGAAAATTGACGATTTTTGAAGAGCTTGATAAGTAGCTTGAGGATAGTTGTTACAAAAAATTTTTTTTGCTCATGGGTTGCTGAAAAATTTCCGACTTTTGCAAATTTCCTGTTTCAACTTAGCAATGAAGTGAGTGAAGAAATAAGAACCCAGTACTGTTTAAACGATTTGCTCCATAACATGAGTTGGAAAAGGTATTTATAAAATAAAAAGTAGCGGGAGGTGTTAGAGTTGACAGTTGGTCCCCTTTATTGCCGTGGGATCTCAATTTTGATTATCTGGGTGCAGGTGTGGTGTAGTGGTGTAGTGCCACGTAGTGCACTATCACACGCGTTGTCCAGGGATCGAAACCGGGAGTGGCAACATCACGCACTGCCAAGTGTCCCAATACACTCAGATTGATAACTGGTGCCATTCTCATCTAGGGTGATATATTAGTTGGCCCCGCAAATAATTGTTCTAATGGGTTGGTGTATGATTAATCGACCTATGCTGCCCTTCTTTATTTAGGAATAATTCATCAAACTGAGCAGCTCAATCTCATTACTATTAGGTGTTTCAGAAAGTCCTGTCGTTTGTCAACGCTCAGCTTTCAATGCACATATCTCGGCTCAAACAAAACTTTATCAATCGAAATAATAACCATTATTATACACACACTTTTGCCAACGAGTAGCGAGCTTGTCTATCCCGGTTGCATAGAACACTGGAGATCTAGAAGCGATGAATTCGAAGAAGGTCGATTTGACATCGTGTCGTTGTTCAAGCGTTTCTCTCGGAGGAAGTTGTTGAGATGCTTAAAAATGTAGTATTCGGTTGGAGCGAGGTCAGTAGACTACGATGGGTGTGGCAGAGTTTTATAGCCAAGCTCGTTCAATTTCTTCAGGGTAGTCTGTGTGACATGGGAGCCCGCGCCGTTGTGGAAGAGGATCAGCCTCTTCCTGTTCACCAATCCAAAGCTTATGAGCTGCAGCTTCTGGTGCATTTCGTCGATAACCTAGCAGTATTTCTCAGCTATGATAGTTTCCCCGGTATCCAAAAAGTTATGATGAATTAAACCAGCCGTTGGCCACCAAACTACCACCATCACCGTCTTTGAGACTTTCGTCGTCGCCACGGAATTTCTCGAACCATCGCTGTGCAGTACATTTGTTGCTACAGGACTTAACCTTATGTTGATATCTCGAGCCGTGTCAACAGCTGCATTCCTGCTTAGTTTGAATAAGAAAAGGAATATGGTGCGAACTTGTCGTTTGTCCATGTTTTTTCCAAGTTTTTGCAAAAGTTAGGAAGTCACTATGAGACGAAGCTGATGCAACATTCAGGAAGAGCAAGAAATGCGTTTTCAAATGGCATACTATATAACAGCAGAGCAACGGAAAATGACTCAGAAAAGAGCGTTTAAAAGTAGACCATTCAAAACGACGGAACTTTTTGAAACACCTAATATTTTGTGTAATACATATTACAAAGCTATTTACAATATTGTAATACAATTCGAGGTAGTATGATTAATTACTGAACTGTGTTGTTTTATTTTATTTCAATTCATTTCATATTCTATCACTCATTAATCCCTTTTGGTAATGTGGATTTTTCAGCTAACGGTGCAGTCAACGATTCACTCAATGAGACCGTCAATACTGCGCGCTCCATCCCAGACTGATCAGAAGAAACCTGATGTCGCAAATGTCGTCTGAGAAGCGGTTACGGTCGTTTATGGATTATTGACTCGAATTCGTACCAAACAGATTTATGGGTCTTGCTCCTGAAAGCATTCATCGTCCCACAGAAATATAAATGTTGCCCTTACTTACTTCGTCACCTCACGCTTAAGTATCTTCCTGGACTTCATTCGAGAAGAACCATTTGCTGAGGTTCTCTGTGACGGGATTAATCATCGCGCAAACGTTGCCATCTAACCCTGTCTACTTACAAGTTACTAGCCCCTACTGAACCCGTCGTCTGTCGAACCAGCTTTATTCACGAGCGAACGCATATCTTTCCCCTGGTTCGCTTCGTTTAGTCGCTTTCTGTCCGTTTTGTTGCCTGGTAACCTGCTTTTGCTTTAACTATGCTTCATAACCTGAGGAAGCGATCGAAGACTTGATTGAGGGCGGAAGAAATTTGTTTGTATTGCTTTGTTGACGGTTAGTTATATCAGTTAAATGCTTAAACTTATTTACCACGCCCCTCATTAAACCGTCCGCTTTGCTGCAGTTTCTTGTTCAACGGGTCTAGTAGTGGGCCCACCTTTGTGTCCTATTCCAAGCCTATTTCTTCCATTGTGATTGTGTTTGTCAACATCAGTCAAAAGGTCCTCTTCGCTGGTCCAAACAGTCTGAATTAATTTCAGTTTCAATGGCGCAGAGGCTAGCGATGTCTACCGTTTACATCTTATCTGGTTCGGTTCCTCCCTTTTCCCCCACCTCTTAGTCGCCCCCCCCCCCCCCGCGCTTCGCTCCCATGCACCTGCGTGGTTCGATTCCTTTTATAATTTTATTCCCAATATGATTTTCAAATATTACATAGGTTAAGGAGGTGGGTGGGAAGTGTTTGCTGATGTCAACTTTTCCTCTTCCTTCATTGCCGCCGTATCTGGTGCTATTGATTCGATTGATTTCGATTTATCGATCGATTCGAATAACATCGTGTTGTTTATTTTATCGCTTTGTTTTCAACGAACGATTGTTTATCGCTTAGTTAGTATTGATGAGAGCAGTTAACGTTGACTCAGTCTTCAATGTATTTTATTTGTTACTGTATTAATAATTGTTACTACAGGGTAATTCAATATTCCATGGATTTCTGTACACTTTGTTCATTTTTCCTTATCTCTTTCATCATATTTGGCCTCTTTCATATTCTAGTTGTTCAACCCAACAGCTTCCTCAGCCTAATAAACGGGTTTTATCGACGATTGGTGTTTTACTTCAAAGGATCTGCCAAAACATTTCTTTTCGTCCTAGTGGACACGGAAAAATGGTTTCTTCATATCTATGCTTCGACATATTTTTTTCTTTTGCAAAATTAGCTTTCAATGGGAACTTGTTAGTCCTTTATGTGTTTTATAATTTCGGTACGGTATATTTACTGCAAATATCGCATGTGTTTTAAACCTTTTGCCTGAATTCCATACAAAGGAAGGGTTGCGTGCGGTCGCGTCGCAGCACGCTGAATAATCAATATTCCAGGGCAACCCCTTATATCTCTACTTCGCTTACTCTTTGAAACTTTGTCCTATTTATAATAGAAAAGTGTTAATTTTTCCACTCGAACTTATGGAAAACTGTATTTTTTTATCGGAACTTTTTTCAAAACTGTTATTTGGGTTTCATTTTTCTTACATTTTATAGAGTTCTACATTGCAAGTGAAAATGCATGATGACCATAGGCGAAGCTGGTCAGACGAAAATATTGCTAGAAAGTTGACAAATTAGGTGCCTGCAATTATGTAAATCTATGCGGTGGAATTTTCTGATCTAGGGAAGCTATGGGAGGTTGATGCCAAATTTGAGCGGAAATTCAAAAATAAGCCCCAAGCCTTCCGCCTACGCAGATGCATCTCGTCCGGTTCTTTAAAGGCACAGTTCCCGATAATTTTGGGTAACCCGGATTATGACGGAAAATGGAAAATATGTAGTGCAATGGAGGCGAAGGAACAGCGTGGATCGGTGTTTCCGAAGTGAAAAAAGTCTTCGAAAAATCGTTAAAAGGGGGCTCAGCGGGAATGAGACCAGAAGAATAAAGNAGAGTGGGGCGTTTGGACGAGCTACGCACAGTGCGTCATTGCGTACGTAAAGGTCCCGGTGCAAATAACTGACTACGGTCAGCAAAAATTCATTCACTTGTAAGCATAAGTAAATAAAAAACCCGAGTAACAGCAAAAGTAGTTCACCTATTTCAGCTTTAAGAGTAGAAAATTAAATAAGAGATCGCGGCAGTAAAAAAATAACATAGGGAAAAAAGAATGGGAGAAAAACGTCGCCTTATCACTCGGCGACAGCTGATTGTGTGTGGGTCCTAAAACGACTAATTGCAATCTGTATTTCCTCGAGACTCGTATGACGTGATATCGATCGACAGGCGGAAAAACCACTCAAGCCAGCATTGGGGCTTCCACTATGCCCTGACCGTCGAGATATTGGGAGCGAGAAAGGCCCTTCTATCACCTATGGGGGCCACTGAGTATTCCTTAGAGAAGGACTCAGAACCATTTTTATCGTGAATCGTGCCTTTAAGTCAAGCGAGTGGGGCGTTTTGTCTCTTTCGCTTTTTCATTTTTGAGAAATTGCTTACCATATGGTCATGAGGCCACGAAGAAGGATGAAAGTAGTTCGACATTAAAGAGGATTGCTATCTCAATTAAGAAACGGTTCTTGATCTGTATCGCTCAGATTTGTCTCTGACAGGAGATTACGCTGCAAGCTTCAGCCATTTTTCCACCATTTTATCGTTCATCTTAACGATCACATATGTAATTTCGTATGTAATTACCGTAAAATTACTGAGGTAATTGGTAGTTAATAAGGTAATATGGAAACGGCTTATTACTCGTGTAATGGCAATCTGTGAATACTTGCCTCGCAGCTCTGTCAGAGCAGAACCAGAAGAACGTTTGTTCTCCCGTCGGAGTTTCTGAGCCTCAGCGGAGGTGTTCCGTCGTTCGTATTTGTTCCTCAAAGCCCAAGACATTACCTTTCGAGTGAACCCATAGATTAGCATCCGTTTATACTTAGCGGGGGAAACTGAAAGGGAGGCCAGCAGGTTTCGACGAAAATCTAGAAGAGAAATTTTCTGAAATGTTCGAATGTCCAGCAACGAACTCAGAGACAGCACGGCTTTCGCAACCATCTTTATGCGAAATTGTACGCGCGTAAAATCGATATCCACCACAATGAATGCATTGGTGACGTGGCCGCTCAAAATGATAAAGTACCTCACAAATCAACCGATATACTGGTTGGAACAGCTGACTTATGACGATGATGACTAAGCTGTTTCACTGCCGACTGAAGTGCAATCCTACGAAGCTCGGTTGCCTGCGGAGTGGCGCTGGTGCCTAAGCAAAGGTACCGAATGTCGAGGGCTTCCAAATCAGATCTTCATCTCATCTTTTCTTTGTTACATGTTATTTCCAGAGAAATTGCGCGTCTGAGGGTCACTTCGCCATGAATCATTTGTGGGAAAGATTTGTTCATACTTACTACCCTAACATACTAAATATATTTTCTCGTTTTCTAAGAAATATGGCTCAAATCTAAGAGGTTCGCAACTCTCTTTAGGCCCCAAATGAGCTTTCGATTCCGTTTTCATATCACGTCTTTCCATGCGATAATAAAAGCCTCATTACGAGCGCCTCCGAAACCGTCCTCTTACGGGGCAGGGAAACTTGGGGATTCACTTATTCAGTTCATGGGCCTCTGTTGTAGGGCTTTGCACTGCTCTTCCTCAAGCAGTCGCTTTCCTCTCCTTTGTTGTCAAACGTTTTCCTCCTTCTTGTTGTTCCGTATAAGCAGCAGGTTTTCTTTTATTGTTTGATGTCTCTTCTCCTGTTCTCTACTTAGTTACTGTACCGCAAAATTCGTCAACTGCTCTTTCTAAATCCCTTCACAGCGTTCTTGACCACATTGTCATGATAGGAGTTCCACCCGTAGTTTTGAATTCTGGTGAAAAGAAATTAAACACGCCGTCCATTTCAGTTGCTCCTGTCTCACTGGATTGTCTTGAAAGGAATTTTTAATCATTACGGTAGCTAGCTTTCGACGCACTTCAGATTTTTGGTCGTAACTTTAAACAGAAATTTTTTCTACTTCCTTCCCAGCAAGCCCTGCTTGCAGCTGGAACTGGGATAGAACACAATTTATCTTGATCAATGGTGATTCTCCGCGCCGAAAAACTGCAGATGTCCAAAGAACAGGGCTCATCTCTCCCATTTGCGCTTTCTCGGCTCCCATCCTTCTTTCGTTCAAGTTCTTTTTGTTTCCCTTTATCCTTGTGACTTACGTGGACTCGCCATATCGACATATAAGATTAATATATGAGAGCTACTTGTTAATCTGACGAAATACCTTTTTTTGAATGCGTTGTAATCTTTATCGCAACCGCTCGCCTACGTATCGCTGTGGTATCAGGAATGGATCACATTTCATCGAAACATTCCAGATGTCGGTTCTCAGAGTTATCTTCTGCCTAGCACTTCTAGTGCATGCAACAGGTCCATCAATTTCCAATACTTTTTAATGTTGGAAAGTTTTAATTTCTATGGTTTTCTCCTGAAGACCTCATAAGACTGAAATGTAAATTACAAACTGTTTATGGAAAGCGAAATTAATACTTTAATCTCCCAACTGCACGATCTTTCTCAGATCTCCTAAGTGGTAATGTGGGCGTGCTTACTAACTAAGGAGGAAGGTTGCTGCGTCTTCAGCTGCTTCTTCAATGGAAGCTTTCCTCTCTTTCTTTCATATTCCTTTGGATAAAAATTACTTTTGTAATCGAAGTAGAGTCGTGAGGTTGCTCCCACTGTAGTTGAATTAAATTATCAAATAATCTATGAGAATTTAATGATATTGGGTCAGAGGTGGTGCAGAGGCAAGTGGTGCACCATCACACACGCATGGTTACGGGTTCGAATCACCTGATCGATATCCGATTAGTCTTCTCATCTTTCGTGTTCGGATAATCAGTACCAGACTCGTCTGGAAGGATAAAAACACTGACTGACTCGTACATCGGCTGACTACCGCATACATTGTATAGATCACATAAGCATTCAATACGCCATTACGATTCTGAATGGAAGTCGAATGCAGGGCGCATCCTCAGATGAAGCTGATTAGCTCCATTTGGCTTTGTCCTTTATCATTTAATCCTCTATATGCATATGTCGCTTTTGTTGAAAATTGGATTGATTTCTATTTGTTTTTGTAGAGAGCATCACTGGAGCAGACGATAACTCACCCCTCAAAAAAGTTGGGTTCCAGTTTTAAATAATCTATATTTATAATCAAATTGCCGGGTTATCAATCAAACTTTGTAGGTTCGCTACAATTTTCATAGAAAATAGTTGCCCCCTTAAACTGAAGACGTTCTAGGAATTTGGATCCCTTCAATTTTTTTGTTTTCGAATGACAAATTACTAGGGAGGGGCTCTAGGCGACTGAGTGATTTTGTCCTTCCTATGAAGTCTGATTTCGTTGGCTCATGAAAACCCGGTTTTTGGTCTGGGCGAGCTTTGAACTCTGATACATCCTTGTCTGTTTTTCTATTCAGTAATCGTCATATTCTCGTTTTAATGGGTGCGACTCCTTTTTTTCAGCGAAAACGCTAGGGAGAGGCGACTTGAAGTGAATAATTTATTGGTAGCTATGACAACAGCTTGATAAGGACTATCCCACACATCGGGGTACTTTCTTCTTTAGGCCCTGTTTCCAGTACTTTCAAGTATTACTAATTATCCTGAAACATATTACAGTACTCTTCAATCATACTCGTTACATGATCAAACCGAGTTTTCTTCCTTACAAGGTATCTTTTTTTCTTCCTCTTTCCCTTCCCCCTCCCCCCTTTAAAATTCGGGTTTCTGTGCTTTTTTTGCTATTAGGAAGTTAGGGAGCAAATGGGTTCCGGGTAGGGTATGCTCATGTTCAATAGTGTGACCGTTTCCTTCGTCCATTGGGGTCGAGTTGACTTTCCAATTTTATGAACAAGTTATTTGTCAAACCATTGGACCTCCCACGTCGTGATCGTCCCAGTTCTTTTCATCTTTCTAGTGCATCAGTAGGACTCCGTTACAACTTCCATGACCATCGAAGACCACAGCGATAGACTAGAAAGACTAGAAATCACGAAATCTGTGGCGCCGCACTGGTGACAATGATTATTAGCGAATCGTAATTGCTAAATTAGCTCTTAATTTCTGAGTTAATAGATGATGACAGCCATTTGAAGAATGACATCATTCTTACAACACAATCACGGTTCCCCTGCTAGACTCTCTTCGGTCTTTGGAGATAATGGATAGAGTTTTCTCGTTTCCGGTGGATTACGATCGTAGGGCCAAGTTTGGCTTGTGATCGTAGAAACGTTTGAATGCCAATGTGCCCCATACTATGCCTTGCGTTAGCCGGCCGAACTCGGTATTGCTATAGATTCGGACTAGAGAATCACCAATCAGTTGGCCCCGGACCCGATCCCCAGATTGTGCGTGTACTAGTGCGCCTCTTGCCACTGCCCTATCCTAGTTTGTTCTGTTGAATAACTGCTATCGCTTCTGAATGCAAAGATGAAAGTCTCTGCAGACAGTGAATGACAATATCTTTCGAGTAGCCTACTGAACATCCACTTATAAAAACGAAACCCAAAGCACTATTTACTTATTGATTTCATTATTTGTTCTTTTGTTTATTTATATGTACATTCATTTGATTACCTATTTACTTCTTTGTTTGTTGATATTAGATGTCCGCTTTTTACGGTTTCCGAGACACTAAGTTATGCGAAAAAGTGATTATTGCTACGTAAAGAGAATGGAGAGAAAGGCATTCCAATCAGCATCGTAGATGAAAATAAATAAAAACAAAAATAGTAAGTCGATCCACTACTACATGGGGAACAACCTACTGGTGGGAAGGGGAAAAAACTTGAGAAAGCAGAAAAAGGTTTATCTACCGCTGTCCAATTGGTTCACATCATTTACATTTCATGATGAACTTTGATGGTAATTGGATAACCCATGGAAAAACTCAATTCAAGGCGCCATTTTGTAGCGGAAATTGTCGGGCAATTACTGGTAATCATAAAGTAAAAACACTTGTTGGTCGTACAGATGGCGCCAATGGTCATGGTTAGTCACTAGTGTTACACATGGCGCATTAGTGCCCAGTCTGTGGCTCTTCGTTGTCGTCGGTGCGCAAAATCTTTTCTCTCATTACAAATCGTCTCTACCACAAACATTAAAATCCCCCATGTAAACATTCATTGTGAACGGTTTCCTCCCCATTTCTCTACCGTTTAGTTGTGTTGTTAGCCCTGACGAAACAATTTCAATCCGCTATAACCTTACCCTCACTGTGAATGAATTCCCCTCTTACAGTCCCCTTGAGATTCTCAGGAGGATGACGTCCTTTGGCACTGATCAATCCCGTTTTGGGATGCGCCATCGCATTCGATTTGCATTCAAAATCGTAGTGGCGTAGTGAACAGTGACTTACGGTGGTCAGCTGATGTAAAAGCCAGTGTATTTATCCTCCCAGACGAGCTTAGAACCGTTTAGCCGAAACTGGAGGACCATAGGGTGGATTGGCCCGGAAAATTTCCAATCCTGATCCGATCCCTGGACCATACTTGTCTGAATGCGCCACTTGGATATACACCACCTCTACCCATCAGTGTCCTATAGTTCAATAAGGATTGATGCTCTACTATTAAGCTGTACCATTTCCGTCATTCCCAGGGTTACCTGAGTGAATACCCCATAGTATTGTATATTCTTTCCAGTAGAACCAAAGATCTCATTTGGTCTTTTTGAGTTAAAAGGCAAGTACTTCGCTTGCACTCCCTGCCTCAGATGGCAGAATCAACGGCAGACAAGGTTATATTTTTCGATTATATAGAAGCGGTTAGGTCGGTTAATTGGAACCAGACTCGTCTGGGAGGATAATGCACTGACTTGGCCATCGGCTGGCTACCACAACTCATTGTATAGGCCACATACGCACTCATTAGGTCACTACGATTCTAAATGGAAGTCGAGTGCGAGGGCGCATCCCTCAGACGGGATTGAT